TTTTATATATCATCAGCATTAATTTTTCTAGGCAAATGGAATTAGGGTGAGACTCTTGCCTCTGAACCCCATCATCTCCCTGGTGATTCCTTGTAGCAGGTGTGGTTAGTGCTGACTTGGGGAGCACAGCCCCTACTGGGCAGGGTGCTGTGTTACTGTTGCTGAACATCCTACCTCCTCCTTCCTGTCTCGGCTCACTTCCCCCTAGGTTGGATCCCGCTCCCCCTTCTCCTGATGTCCCAGACTCACCCAAAAGCTGGGACCAGGTTGCCCAGTCTGGCATGTCAGGCACGGAGGTTGACCTCACTCACGTTGTCCACTCTCCTCTCGCTTTACTTCCTCATGTGTCCCGGACTCTCCTGTCAAACTTGCCCACTCAACTCTTCTGTGGACTGTCCTCCCCACCCTGCCCATGCACCCCCAGTCCACCTTGGGTGCAGCCCCTCCTGGAGGGTTTCCCTGACCCACCTTGTGGAGCTGATCCCCTTCCTCTGTGAACTCCCTTGGCCATTTGTCTAAATGCCCCCCCACCCCACACATGTCACATTGTACCTTGTGTCACAGCTCTATCTGTAGGCATTCCATCTCTTCCTCTCGACTCTAGCTTCTATGAATTGGGTGCCAAGACCTGGTCATTTTTGCCTCCTCCCTGTTACTTGATGGAATGCCTTGTGCACAGGAAAATGCTAATGAAAGGGTGTAGAAAGAATATCAAAGGCCATTCTTTCCTTTTTCTAATTGCCACAATCTGGGGAACCTTCAAATCGGCAGTGTTAGAAGCCCCTGCATTGCTGAGTGTGGGGCCTAGAAGCTGACCTGCCCTCTTCCCTGGAGGTCTGTCCATATTACACTCAACAAAAGGATCCTTGAATTCTCCCCTGTGGGTGACTTTCTGCCTCAGTCCCCACGATGTCCATCCAAATAGGCTACGTTGTGCTGTGGTAGCAATCAACCCCCAGGTCTCAGCAAACCTACATGTTCATCACAGGTTGGCTGGGCCTGAGCTGGAAGGTGTCCTCACTCAGGGACCCAGGCTGAGAGACTTCCTCTCTGACACTGCCAACGTAGAGGAAAGAATGTGACAGCCTTTACTCTGACTCTTCGTGCTTCTGCCTGGAAAATGCAATGCCTTTTAACCTACACTTCCTTGCCCAAAGCAAGTCATAAGGCCTGGCTTCAGCTCCAGGGGGGCAAGGAAGTGTGATCCTACCCCATCTAGAAGGAAACCGACAACCACAGATGACCCTGGCAGTGGGAAGGGCTGCTCCTCCCAGGAGCTGGAGCTGAGGTCACAGTCTGCCCTTGATTTTCCATAGCATCCCTCCCTGAATGCCAAGACTGTCAGCCTGGTAGCATGCAATGCCATTTTTCTGCAGTGTGTTTAGTTTCTGTGCTATAGACTCAAGCAGCTAGAATTCATCACGCTCGGTTCTGTGCTCCCAGAACACTGTGCCTGGCTCCCTGTGGATCCTGTCACAGGGGTTTTGGAAGGAGCTGTAGAAGGAGGTGGGAGAGTGCACTGCTTCACAGCATGGGAGCCAGCCTGCTCCACCACTTCCTAATCATGTGACATCAGCTGGTTATACAACCTCAGCTTCACCTGTGAAATGGGAATGATAACAGTACCTACCTAGAGGACGGTTGCAAGGATCAAAGGAAGGAATACATATAAGGACTTAAAACGTGCTATGTGTGTAACCAGTGTCCCATGAGGGACATCAGGAAAGATAACTTGGGATAAATAAGTTCATGTGTCTCATTTTTTTAGATTCCACATATAAGTGATATCATGTGATATTTGTCTTTCTCTAACTTATTTCACTTAGTATTATCATCTCTAGGTCCATCCATGTTGCTGCAAATAGCATGAGTTCATTCTTTTTTATGGCTGAGTAGTATTCCATTTTGTCTGTGTGTACACCACAACTTCTTTATATAGTCATCAGAGCAGCGTTATTCTTAATACCCTCAAACTGAAAACAACCCAGTGAAATACTAGTCAGCAGTCAAAAGGAATGAAATATTAATAAATGCAACAACATGAATGAATCACAAAAACATTATGCTAAGTAAAAGTCAAAGACTCTGTGCTATCTGATTCCATTCAAGTCACATTCTAGAAAAGGCGAAACTATGGGGACAGCAGACCGGTGGTCACCTGTGGCCGTGGTCCAGGGGAGGTCAACACCAAAGACACAGGGAAAACCTTTGAGAATGAAAGAACTGTTTTACATCTGAGTTTTGGTGGTGGTTACACAATTACCAAAATTCATCAAACTGCCTACTTAAAATAGATGGATTTTATTGAACATAAACAATGCCTTAAAGGAAAAAACAAACCCATAGGCTGTTTGTTTAAGTGTCTCTCAACCTGTTTTCCCCATGCCTTATGTGGTGATATCGGGACCTGCCAAACAGCCCTCCTTCTTGGAAATAAGGTCATTCAAGGCTCTTTTTTCTCTCTTGCCTCAGAGCTGCGGCCCCAGCTGACACTGACCGATTTCCAGTGGGCACCATAGTGTGTCCCAGGCGGAGGCTGACGGAAACCAGCTTGTGTTCCTGTCACTAATGATATAAGCCTTCATCATCGTTGTCTCTGCCAGGCCGTGTTCGCTGTCATCACACCCATTGAAGAGGAGAACAGAGTCATAACGAGCCGGTTGTTATGGGCTCACAAATAATTCATAATGGGCAAACTAGGACAGGAACAGAGCTTTTTTTGGCTAAGGAGGTTGCATGTCACTCTTCAAATCTAGGCCAAAAAATTATTTATAATGCATAGACAGTCACTGAGAAAGTTAAAAGGTTCCTTTCTTCTCTCCCCTGTGTTTGAACACCATGCTTTTTACCTTGGACTTGCAAAAAGGCATCTCAGCGTCTTCCTGCTCCACCTGCAGTCAGTCGGTGACTGAGGGAGCGTGTGTGAGGATGGTGACTGGGCGAGGCGTGAGGCCTTTGTAGAAGCCCCAAAGGACTTCAGATCCTCCCGAAAATCCAAGGAGAGGTAGGAAGGAGGGAAAAGTCAGGGAAAGGAAGAGACCCTTAGGTAAGGGGGGCAGCCACACACTGTGGGTGAGCTTTGAAGAAGCGCCTCAGATATTATCAGGAAACAGCCCAAACTGGGATGCAGTCAGCAAAAGAGGGCTTGTAAATGGGTGTGCTGAGATAAAGACAGGTTGTGTGTAATTAGGCAGCACAAACAGGACGGTCTTGGCCACCGTGGTGTCCAGGGAAAGGGTATCTGGGACATGTGCTGATGTCTCCAGGGACTGCTTGGGGAAGCAGAGTCTGTGTTGATACTGACCCCTGTGGATATTGGTACCGTCCCCAAGGGAGGTGAGACCCTCTGCGGAGAACCTTTTGAGTTGTCACCAGCCACCAGCCACCAGCATCCCATCCTGTTCCCATCACACACTGGCTGGTGGACTCCCAGTGGGTGGTTAGCAGCCCAGAGCAACTGACTTCCGGGCCCCCGACTTCAGCGCCCCCAGGTGCCTGGGCCAGCAGGCAGACCATGTTTGAGGGGCCCTGCAGCTGTGGCCCCTGTTCTCTCTCACTGAGCTGACTTTCTGGAACAAGTCCATCTGGAGTGAATTTGGGAGGCTGGGGGTCAGCTTTCCCAGCCCTGGGTCACCTTTGAATTCGCTGGCTGTGGGGGAGGGGCTGGCCTGTGCTGTGTCATTAAGGACCAAGGCCTCTGGGCGGTGCTGCGTTCCAGACTTCCCAGGCGGGGGGGTGCAGGAGCCTGGGGGGCTCTTTGTCTCGTACAGCAGCCCTAATAGCTATGATTTCCTATCCGAGTTCCCAGGATCCTGGGGTTCCTCAGAGCCTCCGTGGCTCAGGAAGAGATCTCCTCCCCTCGAACCAAGCAGTTCCACTTTCTTCTCTTCTGTAGGCGTGTAATATAGTATGCCTTTAAAAAAAAAAAAAACCTCTTTTTAGAGCAGTTTTGAGTTCACTGCAAAATTGAGTGGAACGTACAAAGATTTTCTGTGTACCCCTGTCCCTGCACACACACAGCCTCCCCTGTTATCACAGAGTGGTCCATCGTGCAGCTGATGAAGTGCATTGACACATCCTGGTCCCCGCAAAGTCCAGGGTCTACATTAGGCTTCCCTCTTGGTGTTGCACATGCTGTGGGTTTGGGCAAACGTGTGGCATGCACTGACCATGGCAGTATCACACAGAGTGATTTCCTGGTCCTAAAATTCCTCCGTGCTCCACCTTCACCCCTCCCCGCCTCAGCCCCTGGCCGCCGCTGATCACTCTACTGTTCCTGTAGCTGTGTCTTTTCCAGAACGTCCTAGAGTTGCAATCCTACAGTCTGCGGGTTTTCACATTGGCTCTGTCACTTCGTAACATGCATTGAAGTTTCCTCCATGTCATTTTGTGAAGGGTTCAGCTACATTTAGCAGCTTGCAGTCCCTGTCATGTTGGTCCTAGACTATGTACGGCTTGTAGATGGTTTTGTAGGGTGTTCCTGGACTCGCCAACAGAATGATGAGCTCTGGGCCAGCAGCGAGGACATATGTCCTGGGTGGCACTGGCTCTCTACTGAACACTCAGGACACCTGGCTGTCCATTGTGACTTGGCACCAGAGACTGGGTGCTCCAGGTTGAAGGGACATGGTTTGGATCTCAGGATGGGTAAGAGCAAACCCCTCTGGGCTGTTTATCTTGATAAACAGCATGTCCATTCTTCTCCGAATGTTCCAGCTCTTTGGAGTCAGAGGAGCAGAATCTGGGTCCAGAGCTGAACTGTACGCTTTCACATCTGAGTCAGGACTTACCAATGCTGTCTCTTGTTGTGGCCAAGAATCCAGCATAACATTTTTCTGTCCCAGTTACTCAGCTCAGAAATGTGCAAATGTGACTTTCCCTGAAAAAGTTTTGCTAAGATGACCTCAGCCGAACACACTCTGATAGAGAGTACCTCCATTCTGTCCTAAAGCCTTTACCCGGTGGACTGTTCCAGTAACCTGTGCATTTGGTGTTTCCAGAGCATCTCGAAACAAGTCTGAGAAGAAGCGTCGGGACCAGTTCAATGTTCTCATCAAAGAGCTCAGCTCCATGCTCCCTGGCAACACACGGAAAATGGACAAAACCACCGTGCTGGAAAAGGTCATCGGATTTCTGCAGAAACACAATGGTAAAGGTTACACTTCTCTCCATTTTTCTCCCATTTCTGCCCTTTCCACTTGGTGATGACTTCATCACGTTGGTCTTCCTAATTGGTTCTGTCTCCCCAGCAAACCCTATCCCCTTGGTCGTAGTTTTCCTCTTTCCAAGGCACTCCATCCTCTATAAAACCCCATCTCCCGTAGGTTTGGGACAGGACACTCACCTCCCAAATTGCCTTATTAGCCAGAGGAGAGGATCCAGAGCAGGCTCACAGGGGGGCACCCAGCCCAAGTAACTCGCACTAACAATGGAAGTGTCTTTTTTTAAAATTGAAGTAGAGTCAGTTTACAATCTTGTGTCAATTTCTGGTGTACAGCATAATGTTTCAGTCATCCATATACGTACATATATTCCTTTTCATAGTCTTTTTCACTACAGGTTACTACAAGATATTGAATATAGTTCCCTGTGCTATACAAAAGAAACTTGTTGTTTATCCATTTTGTATATAGTAGTGTGTATCTGCAAATCTCAAACTCCCAATTTATCCCTTTCAACCCCCTTTACTCCTTGGTAACCATAAGTGTGTTTTCTATGTCTGTGAGTCTATTTCTGTTTTGTAAAAAAGTTCATTTGTGTCTCTTTTTTTAGATTCCACATATGAATGATGTCATATGATATTTTTCTTTCTTTTTCTGATTTACTTCACTTAGAATGATGATCTCCAGTTCCAACTATGTTGCTGCAAATGGCATTATTTTATTCTTTTTAATGGCTGAGTAGTATTCCATTGTGTGTCTAATTGTGTGTGTGTGTGTTTATTATAGCCTTCCTAGTTAGCAAGAAATGATATCTCATTGTGGTTTTGATGTGCATTCCTCTAATGTGTGATGGTGGTGACCTTTCCTGGGCTTATTGGCCATTTGTATATCTTCTTTAGAGAATGTCTACTCAAATCCTTTGCCTATTTCTAATTGGATTATTTATCTTTTTGCTGTTGAATTATGAGAGTTCTTCAGACATTCTGGATACTAGACCTTTATCAGAAACATAATTTGCAAATATATTCCCCATTCTTAATGATTCTTAAACACAGAAGTTTTAAGTTTGATGAAATCCAATGTACCATTTTGTTGTTAGTGGTGGTTTCTTATGCTTTAGGTATCATATCTAAGAAACCACTGTCTATGAAGGTCATGAAGATGTACTTCTGTGTCTTCTAAGAGTTTGATCATTTTAAGCTATAAATTAAGCATTTAGATACAAGCTATAGGTTGAACATTTGGAGATTTGATCCATTTTGTTTTAATTTTTTTGTATATGGAGTGAGGTAGGGAGTCAAAATTCATCCCTTTTATATGTGAACATTCAGTTATCCCAGCTACTCTTTTTTTTTAATTTTTCAGTACTTTATAAAGATGTAACACACAAACAGAAAATACACAAATCATAAAAGCGTGGTTGAATTAGTTATCTCAAAGTGAATAGAGCCAGGAAACCAACACCTCGATCAAGAAATAGAAGTTTCCCCAACTTAATAGAAGCTTACCCCTCCTAACTTACCTTGGCTTTTCCCCGAAGGTAATCTCCGTTCTGGCTTCTAATACCAGAAACCGGTTTTGTCTGTTGAGACCTTATTCAGATGAACTCATACATTGTGAACATGATGTTTGTGTGACTAATCCGTGTCCTTCCAGTGCTCTGGCTAGCTCCTTTTCATTGGTATCTAATATTCCATTCTATGAATTTACCACTTGAATCTATCCTTGAATTTGTGTCTTTCTCAAATCATCCTGTCTCCATTTTATTCTCCTTCAAACCTTTTTACATTTTAGCATTGCCCATCCTGTACTACCCTGTGGATGGTACAAAGAAAATGAAGAATATTTAAAAGGGTTTAGGAACTATTAACAAGCAAGAGGAACTGAAATTATTTTTTGCCTTAACCATGACACCAAACATATTAAAGTCAGAAGTGTCAGTTATTGAGGAGATAATTACAGTTCTTCTGTGCTTACAGTGATGCTTCTCTGTCACTGAACATTTTCCTAGACAAGATGATTTCATGGAAGAGGGCACAGCTGGGACACTTTCTAAAGTTTCATTATACTTGTTATTCTTTTACTATTTAATAATTGTATATACCTATTAATATGTGACAGTAATGATATATCGTCTTTTTTTTCCCCAAAGCTGCCCAGGGGAGAGTAAAGAATATGTTAATTGCTTTTGTGAAAAGTCAGGGAAGAACAATCAAGCAGAATTGGAATAAAGTATTGCAGCAGTATTTGATTGCCCCAATAATTTAATCAGAATGGTTATATTTCCTAAATAATGATTTAACCAAATGAAATAGCAGGTTGGTTTGATTACCAAGATATTGTGCGCAAATGACTCAAATTAGGTCAGTGACACTGAGAAGCAGGACAGCTGTTAAATAGGACAGCTGGGATCAAGTTCATCAGTGTGACATTTATGCTGGGTTCTGTCCACTGTGGAATTACTGAACTGTCAAATCTGAGATCTGGGAAGGATCAGTCAGCAGAAATGCAGCCTCCTCCTAACACTGGGAGCCCCTGTGTCCATCTCGTCTTTGTTGTAAGACTAAGACCTACTGCACAGAGTCCACTTAAAGGCAGCCAGTTCTCACCTATCCTTATCCCACACTGAGAAGATTCTATATTCAAAAGAAAATAGAAAATCCATGACAGACTTTATGGAGAAAGATAGTGATTGGACCAACATTTGGATTAAAGCAAAAAACAAAAACAAACAATAACTTTTCTTATAATCCAAATGGACATGAAGTCCCAAGGCACCTGCCATGGGGTGGAGGGTAGCACAGTCATTCCGGGCTTCCCTTGAGCCAGGAAGGCATTGTTCTAAGGGCTCTAGAGAGTAACTCCTCAGAGCATAACTCATCTGAGCCTCACAGCAGCCCTTTGAGTTAGTACCACTTCTCAAATGAGGCAACTGAGGCACAGAGGTGTAGGACCACTAGCATCAGACAGCCAGGATGGTGCAGAACCTAACCAGACCTTCTGTCTCCAGAGCCCAAGTTAACATGACACCATACTGCTTCTCCACAAGAGGTGATTCATGGGGGTCTTCCAGATCCTGATGTCACAGCTGCACTGCAGCTGTCCTTTAGCCTATAGGCTATGGGTTCTCACCTTTGGCGGCCCCTTAGAATTGTCTGAGGAGCTTTTTAAAATGCATATAACTATAGCAGCACTATTTACAATAGCCAAGACGTGGAAGCAACCCAAATGTCCATCGACAGATATTTGGATAAAGAAGTTGTGGTGTGTGTGTGTGTGTGTGTGTGTGTGTGTGTACACACACATATACACAATGGACTACTACTCAGCCATAAAGAAGAATAAAATAATGCCATTTGCAGCAACATAGATGAATCTAGAGATGATCATACTAAATGAAGTAAGTCAGGCAGAGAAAGACAAATATCACATGATATCACTTATATGTGGAATCTAAAAAAATGAGACACATGAACTCATTTACAAAACAGAAAGACTCGCAGACATAGAAAACGAACTTATGGTTACCAAAGGGGAAAGGGAGAGGAGGGATAAATTAGGAGTTTGGGATTAGCAGATACAAAATACTGTATATAAAATAGATAAACAACAAGATCCTACTCTATAGCACAGGGAACTACATTCAATAGCTTGTAATAACTTATAATGAAAAAGAATATGAAAAGGAATATATACAATATATAACTGAATCACTATGCTGTACACCAGAAACTAACACAACATTGTAAACCAACAATACTTCCATAAAATAAATAAATTAAATAAATACATTTAAAAATGCGCATTACTGGATGACACCTCACAGATCCACACATGAGACTTTCCAGGGGTGGAACCCAGCTTGTGAGCTGGAGCAAGCTGATACCAGCTTTCAAAAAATAATTATTAAATTTCCAGGAGTTTTTGCAAGCCAGTTGACATGAAGTTGGCAGCTTGAAAATCAGCCATGGTCTGAGTGTTTTACACCATAGAGACGGGCAAACACTGCTTGTTGCAGGGGTGGAGAGCCCTGACCAGCACACCCCTGGGTCAGACCTAGGCAGCAGTGTTCTTCAAGCTGCCCAGGTGATTGCAGGGCGCAGCCAGGGTGAGGAACTGTGGATTTAGACAGGCTTCGTGCCTTAACGCTGCAGGAAGACCACGTGGTACGTCAGGCACAGTGATTAGGTCCGGGGGATCACTTTAATTATTTAGCTCTTTTCTCAATAATCTTTCAAGCATCCTTATTTTCTCCCTTGGGAGATCAACCTTGATCCTGGAATGCATGCTTTTTCTCTTTGAAGTCATCCAAAGCTAAAGGAGACTCTGACTGTGTCTCTCCGTAGAGAAGCATTGTGTTGTCAGTTTCTGTGACAAGGAGGAACCCCTCAATGATGTGAATAGCAGGCATATTGGACAGCTGTATCCACATCCTTCTAAACGTCACTTCTCTAGGACCAGGCTGACCTGTGTGCTCTCTTCCTCCCGTGCGAGTCTCAAGCTGATTTAATGTCATCTTCTCCCAACGTCACATCCCGTTCCTCATCCAAGCCCCTTCAGTATGTCTGCCTCTGTGGGTGTGGGTGGGGTGGAGACAGCTGCAGAACCAGGAGAAGTGTCCCTGTTGGACAGAGTAATAGTTACCCCGCCCAGCAGAGTTTCTGCCTCGTTTTCCAGACTCTTCCTTGACCATGTATAGCCCAGAGTCAGACTGCTTACTCATGTATCACAGGAGCTGTTGGGAGGTGGGCATTCTAAGGCATAACTACGGCTTACACTATAGGATAGTAGACTTTGAGGTTCAGCTGTTAATTGCCATATTTCCCTGAAAAATTGCTCCCAGGTTGCTGTGTTTCCCTTTCTGTTGAGAAACCACTTGGACCACATTTCTTTGCTAGTCCTGCCCTGTCACCTGCAGCTTATGGTCTTGGTCCCATCAGATGCCAGGGGAGATGTGATTATAACACTGAAATCTATTTCCCAGTTTAACTTGCTTTGAGACGTTATATCTAACGTAATTTTTTAAAAATATGCTGTGAATGGAGTCTTAGCTTGCAAGGGCTATAATCAAATCGTTGAAAATCAAAGTGAACGGAAAACTCACAAAAAAAAAAGAAAGAAAATCAAAGTGAATGAAACAGCAGCTTGCAGAATTGTTATGCTGCTGTTTCAAAAAGGATCCAGTCACATCAAAAGACCCGAACATTACTTCTGTAAAAGAAATAGATCTTTCATTTTCCTTCACCATGGAGTTGGATGAACCTTGTCTGAATCAGATTTGGGCTGCCAGAAAGATTCTTCTCCTGGACAACCTAGTTTGATCCTCATGGTCAAAACAATTTTATCATGAGCGTCTGTATTGGGAAAAGGGAGAGGGCATTTACGGGCTTAACTGATGAGCATGGCTTCGGTTCATCTCCTTCCTAAGTGGTCACACGGTGGCAACCATTTGTCTGAGGATCTGGGAATTTCACCCTCTCCTCCTTGCCTCGCCCCCCTACCCCATACCCTCAAGGAACACTGGTCAGATTTGAGTGCAGCACCCTGCCTCTGCTTCCCAGGATGCCTTTCACTGTGTGCAGCCTCTGGCCACAGTGGCCCCAGCTGCGAGGGGTCCCCACACTGGGCCTGGCTGGTGGCCCTCATCAGTGCTGTTGGTTGACCGCCTGCCGGACACGGTTTCTTTCCTGAGTTTCTTCCTGTGTTCCGTGACCAAGAGCTGTCAGCAGCTCTTGTGTGCTCCTTTAAAATCACCAAAGACAAAAATCCAGTTCTGTATGACAGCAACAATTGTTCTTTCTGAAATTGAGAAGGAGGAACCCTTCCCCGCAGAGCCAAGCATTGCAGGGAACGTTGGGTGGCTGACCTCAGGCAGGTTTACAGAGTCACATGTGGGACTCAGTCCTTCACAGCATCCTCATTCACGAGTAACCACTGAAGTCATTCCGATTCCTCCACTCCAGTGTCAGGACGCGTTCTCCAAGCTCCATGCCGAGAAACTACGCACAACACAAGGTCAATGGAGAAAGACTTTAAATGTCTCTCCAGTTTAGAGTTTATAGATGATCTGCCTGAACAATTCACCTCTTCTAAGAAGTTGTTGAACAGAGTATGATTCACTCTGAGACAAGAGATAAATCATAAGTACTCAGGTTCTTCCTAGCACCAAGAAAATAATCGCTTAAAAACCTCTTACTCCATAAAGTGGAGTAAAACGTTGGTTAGGTAGTTAGATGGAGGATAAACTGGAGAAAAAACCAATATATTCAGATAGAACACTTGTGCTACCTGTAATGATCCCATCAGAGATATTTTAGTAATAAAACACTCTTTCAGAAAGGCAGAAGTACTGGGGTAATTAAGGAGCCCTGTGTAGATCCATGACGATTGAATTTACAAAAAGAATGTTTTTGGAACAAGGTAGTTACATGAAACAGGCAAAGTATAGATGAACCCCAAAAGGTTTTGGGTAGAGTATATGCTGGCCTTAAAAGCAACTAAGTAACATGTATTTGTATGGTTACCTTCCGTAACTAGAGATGTGGACAGATACATGACCATCTGCATGGATACAGTAGGTTAGGGACCACACGCCTAAGATGATTCCGAAATTTTGAAAATCCCAGGTCTTTAAAGCGTTTTGTTTCACCTTGACCACGAAGAAGCAGCTTAAGCGTGGCCCCTCCGCCCCTGTGCTTGCTCCCGTTGCCTTGATGGGTGGCTACTACCTGACTCCAGCCACCGCTGATGGACTGGGTCATGTAGGAGTTCAAGGGCATGGAGTGACTGCTAATAGCAGGCACCCAGTGCACAGGGCGGGGCACTCTCCTCCCAGACGCCTCATTAAACGGGTGTGAAAACATCACGAGATGTTTTTTTAGGCCCATTATATCCTAAATTCCCAGTCCTTGGAAATCAGAGTAACAGATTTCCTTCTCTGGGCTTCTTTAAGTAAATTACTCACTTACACAAAATTACATAGAAATAACATGCACTTTGTTTATTAATTCCAATTTCTAGGTACCTTTGAATCTAAAAGCTTATTTGTGGTTTTTTTTTTTTCTAGAAGTCTCAGCACAAACGGAAATCTGTGACATTCAGCAGGACTGGAAGCCTTCCTTCCTCAGTAATGAGGAATTCACCCAGCTGATGTTGGAGGTGAAATGCACTCTTCAAATTAGCTTAATGGGCTGCAAATTAAAAAATAGTTGCTTGTTCTGGATAAGACCCGGTGCCCAAAGTAAACTTGGGCTTCTTGACCCTGGAAAGAGGCGGGTGGGAAGAGATAGGCTGTTGAAACTCTGCCTGCAGTTGCTTATGTTTTTGGCTGCAGAATTGGGCGGTAGAAGCGAGAATCCCTGGACTTAATGGGAGGGTGTACTGTTGCCATGGTGACCACAGGGCGGGCCCAACCACAGGACACCAAGTGAAGTCAGAGAGCCAGGCAGGGGCAGAGTTGCAGGTGGGGAGAAAGAGGGGAGGAGGGAGGAAGATTCCATCTCTGCACTGCATTATGGAGGCTATAATGCCATGATTCTATTTTTTCCCTTAGTAGGACACATTTTGAAAGCAAAAGCCTTCTTTTAAAATTATGCTTTCAACTTGAGCTCGTATTCCATCGACATAACATGTGGGTATCAGCTATAAGTGCCCGTGCCCCACCACCCAGCACGCGCTCTCTCTGTGCCGAGAAGGATGCTCACATGTCTTCCTCCGGAAAGTTAGGTGCCCGCGCCCATCTGCTGGCCTGTATTTGAGGAAATCTGGCTGAGCTGGGTGCATGGCCTTCCCCGACGTCATGTTTCTATATGAGTGAAACCTCTCGGTATAGATGAGGCTAAGTTTCTGCAAAAAAAAAAAAAAAAAAAACATTGGGCTGGTGCTGACATCCAAACCGGGGATGAGGCCGGGAGTGAACAGACATGTCGGTGGACGGAGAGAAAGCTCCAGACATGTCGTGTCTGAGCCCTGGAATTAGAAGAAGAAAACTGGGACAGATGAGTTCAGCGAAGGGAAATTAGGCACTGGCTATGTCAGTGGTTCCTGGCAGGGCTTTAGAGAGAGGCTCCTTGGGACCTGTCTTTCTGTATCTCATCTTATGTGCCTATATAAGACTGATGTAAACTTTAATTTACATAGATTAACTATGCAGAAAACAGAAAGTCCTGGAGTAAGAAAATGCCAGAATGAAGATGTCCAAATATTATGAAATATAAACGCATTAATGAACATTTGCATGAAATGAAAGATACTTAAATCTGCACGTGAACTATATTTAAAGGAAATACAGAACATTCTCCAGAAGCAATGCATTTTAAGTATGTTAAATTTAGAGCAGCTTGTGAAATGTAATGTTGAATTCATGCATCATTATGCTACTTCACATAAATTGTTTTATCTCTTAATTCTTAGGGAAAAGTAGTTAAAATGCAGAACCCTGTAGCACCCAGCCTCTTTGTAAGAGCCTGGAGCCCAACCTTTTTTTTTTTCCCCAATGAGTTTCAGGGTATACAAAGTATTTGAGGAAACAAGACTTTTATAAAGTTAAAAAAAATGTATAAAAGTTTGGGCAGAAAGACAAAACTGAGTCTTAGGAGACTAGAATTTCTAGAAAAAGATTTTAGATTTGTATGGAGATGCTTTATGCCCTGTTTCCTGCTCCTGGTGTGGACTTCTTAACTCGAATCTAGAGGAAATCATGCTAGATGAGTGAATTGGACCCCATGTTAAGCCTGTGTAACAATCAGGCCTTCTGGGTGAATTGCAGCTTTGAGGCATCTGGGAAACGCACCAACTAGTACTTTTGATTTATCTCGGACTCTTTTAGGCTTTTGTTCCAACCTGTTGGTCTTCAGTAGACACAGACCTGGTGATGGGCGGCCGGAGCCACCTGTACCTTCCCTGTGATGGTCCCCACGGGGTGATGCTGTCATGTTCCACTATGCAACTTCTCCATAGTGTATCACAGGCCAGCCGCACGAACCCCTCGTTTGCTCAGAGCCAATTCAGGGAACATGAGGATGCCAGGTCTTTGTAACTAGGAGCTTCCCTTTTTGAATGAGGACAGAGCCCAGGACAGAAGCCGACAGGCCCCAGGGAACTGCCCTGCTGGTGCCGTCTGGATGGGAAGCCCTCCTTCTTCCCTGTTCTCTGACGAAGATGGTGACTACAAGCACTGGAGCCAGTCAACTCAAAAGGGGGAAGGCTCTTATTGACGGGCAGTTGGGGAGTGTGTGGTATTTCTGAATTTTATTTAGAAAAGCTGCAGCTGTCCTTTCTCTTAGCCCAGAAGTTGTCCCGGAGAAGACAAGAAAACATTCCATAAGAACCAGGAATTAGCAGGAAGGGATGGTTTCATTGCCCTCTGGGGCGTGGCAGATGTGAAATGCAGCCTGTTATGGTGTCTCTGGTGTCCATGAAGCTCCTGCCGAAGTCCCGGTTGCACTGAGAGGGGCACATCACTTTTCCATCATGTTCTATTGAGTCATTCTCAATTGCTGCCAGTGGGACTTCTGAAGCCACAGCGAGCGTTCTTAAAGCAGTGACTCAGTGCAGTTCTCGTGCATTTGATGGAAAATGCCAGTGAGCTGGTGCGCGTTATCTTCCATCTATAAATAACCTTCAGCTTTTTAACACCCACTTGCCTTACACTTTCGACAGGGGCATGGGCTCACTGTGCAAGAAGATCGTTTATATTGCTTCTCCTTTCCCCGATATTCTAATCTGCTTTTCCCAAAATGGCCCAGCTAGCATCATCAGGAGTGCTCCCACCTCTTCAAAAAAATTCACCTTCAGGAGCACTGCAAATACGATTTTTTTTTAATTTTAGAAAAATACTCGAGGGGTAAAGAAACAAAAGTCACTAGGATGTACCTCTGTGCTCACCATGAGCCATGAATCTCATCCCGAATTTCTCCATCTCGGCACTCTTGGCATTTTGGACCTGATAATTCTTTGTTTTAGGGGCATCCTTTGTTCTAGAGGTGGGATGTTTCAAAGCATCCTCGGCCTCTGACCACTAGATGCCAGCAGCACCCACCCAGAAGTGACAACCAAAAGTGTCTCCAGACATTGCCAGGTGTCGTCAGGTGGGGCAAAATTGCCCCCAGTTGAAAAACATGGGTATAATCCAAGAAGATGAGGTCTGCTTAAGAAATGTGCTTTAAGAGATTTTTTTCAGTCTTCATCCTGCAATACATAAATGTTAAATGATAGGTGACCTGTGTTAGTTTCCTGGTGAAATGAACTCTCTCCCACTTTGGCACGGGGGTAACGGCGCTGCCCTGGCCCACATGGAACACTGTGGCTCCTGCTGCCGTCCGCTTAGCCACACCCTCCTCACCTGGGAGAATTCGTGCCCTTTTGGCTGCGCAGATGCTCAGTCACACCCTGGGGGGATCTAACTGAGTGCATGTAAAATGTCTCCAGAACTTTCTAAGCACATATTTCAGTTTGAGGATTTCTCCTCCCTAAAGTGGAAAACTTCCCACTCTTGGGGAAGATGGTATTTCAATGACACAGTCAGTGAAACAACAGTGGTAGTTAACAGTGACGGTCAGCCTGAGCACATTCTGCCCTCAAAGATTTGTTTTTGTGAGATGGGCTCTGTGTTTTATCTCTCCCATCTCATCTGTGCACCCGGATAGCCAGTTACCAGTATGACCCCACTCTCTGCTGAATGTAGTCTGAATTTTAGACATCAGCCTTCACATGTGTCTTAAAAGTGGTTCCAGTGCTTGTAGTCACCATCTTCGTCAGAGAACAGGGAAGACGGAGGGCTTCCCATCCAGACGGCACCAGCAGGGCAGTTCCCTGGGGCCTGCCGGCTTCTGTCCTGGGCTCTGTCCTTATTTAAAAAGGGAAGCTCCTGGTTATGAAGACCTGGCATCCTCACATTCCCTGAATTGGCACTGAGCAAAGGAGGGGGACGTGCAGCTGGCCTAGGATATACTATGGAGAAGTTGCATAGTGGAACATGACAGCATCACCCCGTGGGGACCATCACAGGGAACGTACAGGCAGCTCCGGCCGCCCATCAACAGGAAAGTGTTAACAAGCATCTGATAAGGAATCTGGAAACCAAACAGCCAGCATGTCTGTGAGAAATCACTGACGGTCTGTATCTTTTCATTTATACCACGGGCACCTGGAGCAATGTGTTTTGCATCCAGCAGGCGCTCAGTAAAAACCTCTAAACAAATGGATTTTTCAGACATTCTGAAATGTCTGAAATGCAGTCAGCCCTGTGTGTCTGTGGGTTTCACATCCGTGGTTGGCAGAATCCAGGATGCGCAGAGCCTGGGGCGACTCTCAGAGACTTGAGCATCCTTGGATTTGGGTACCTGCAGGGGTCCTGGAACCAACGCCCCATGAAGACGAGGAACGACTGTACTTTTTACTTTGGTGGATTAATGTGAACGTTCCTTATAAACAGCTCCTCCAGGAGATATTTATTTCTGTGCCAGTGAACGTAGGCAGAGGCCCATCCTGACCTGTAGGCAAGCTTTCTATTTCTAATGCCTCTGTGAGGTCTGCTGTCCTTTAGTAAATGTTTACTGCTGAACTCAAAGTGGTCTTGGGGGTAGGGAGACAGGGAAGGTAAAATACCACTGACATCTTTTAATGGTAATTGTAGTATTTCTGATTCAGCGCAAATGTACACTTATCATTAAGACTGCTTGGGTAATTTCTGTGGCTGAATTTTGTTTCGCGGTACCTGTAGGTCAGATTTTTCACCCCGTCTTTTTGTGTTTTGCAAGCACCTTGCCTGGGCTGGACAAAGTCTGTGTAAGAAACCATCCTGTGTGTGAGACAGAAAAGTGCTGTGAGATTAATCGTGGAAATTTGCGAAAGGTTCCGACAGAGTTGGTGTCGTGACGCGGGGTCCCTGGCCTCGGTGGCCTCCTCCTCCGTGGAAGCATGACTCAGGGGCCCTCAACTGTGGCATCTTTTGCAGGCACTGGACGGCTTCATCATCGCGGTGGCGACGGGCGGCAGCATCCTCTATGTTTCTGACAGCATCACGCCCCTCCTGGGGCATTTGCCGGTGAGTATCTGCTCCGACAGCCTTTGCCAGTCCGCGGCACCATCTCTCCTCAAGAACTATTCAGATCTCAGGGTGGAGGCCCTGCAGGTGTGCCCAGGGGGTCTGTGTGTGAGGAGGGTTAGGGAGTGCCCCCTACCAGGCCAAGGCCAGGGTCCCGAGGGAGGGCAGGGGAAGGCCTGTGTCGTCCTGGAACAAG